GCCGCAAGCTTCTGAAGAGAATCTAGTGGAGCAAGATGAGTGGAAAAGTTCGAGTCGTAAACTGCTGAGCAATAGTCAATTTTGGGTAGAACACAAGTCTTGTAAAGAGTCAGACGAATGGCTTGTGATGCATCTCGGAATACTCGATTTAAAGCTCCTAGCATACGCCTGCAAAGCAAAGCAGGTTCACTAATGTGGGTAGACCACTTAAGATCGTGCGAAAGACGTAAACCTAATAGTTTAGGGTCATTGTCAAGAGAAAGACACCATATGTGGACAACCATATGTGGGATGGGAAACAAGCACATAAGGATGACGAGTATATAGTGTGTGTACTGATAATAACTTCTAAAATGCACAAAAATTAAAAAAGATATTAATTTCCAGAAAATAAAAGAAAAAAATCGCTGCAGAAACCCTTTTTTATTTTAGGATTTTTTTGCGATCCTTTTAATGCGGCGGTGAAATTTACAGCTGAGCCGCGAATACGACTTTTTGAAGATGGTTTTAGAAATAGAACTTTACATTTTGAACATATTTTTTTACGTTAAGCAGAGCCATATCTGATCCTTCAGTGACTCAGCACTTCTAAGGACAGTTTCACCAAATCGGAGCATCATTAGTTCTAACTCGAAAATGAGTAATTAAAAATATCCACACCGCTTTAAAACTTTTAACTAAATGTACTTCAGTTATATAGAAATTTCTTCGTTGGACTCATACATTCTATAAAAATGATTTTTCTTACGTTTTTGTTGGTTCTGCATGAGGTCGAAGGATTTGTTGTGGTGCATGACGTGTATCCATAATCCAACAAAAATTATCAACGTAGTATTGTGCCATTCTTAGATCACAATCTTGACACCAACAGCTAATAGGATTCCCAAAAAATGTTGTTGTTGAGATAGTTATTACACCTAAAATTAATTAATTTTGCAATATATATCATGCTTTACTAAATCAAAATAATGACATAAATTAAAACAGAAACGAAATAAGAAAGATTCTTTTTTTGATTTCTGGAAGCGAGCTTTGGCTGTACATCGTACAACATTTTCAGGCTTATAATGTGAGGTATGATTTTGAAATAGACTATATTTCTCTTCTTTTCTCTTTTCTGTTTCTTGTACAACGTTTAACCACATGTTAAATTAGGTCTTTAGATAAGATATATGACGTAGCTTCTGCTGAAGAAGTGAATAGAATACATGTTGGCCTTTCTCCAAAGCACGCTTGTATCGGACCACAGTTAAAATTAGAAATTGAGTATCCACTTACCAACTAATAAACCTACTATTGTATAAAAGCGATTTAAACGGTTAATGTTATCATCCATGCCAAATAAATTTGCATTAAATAACATTCGTAAAATTTCGATGAAAAACGCGAAATTCATTTTTTGATCTAAAAAGAAAAAGAAAGAAAGCCACTAAATCACTTACCTAGTCCGTCTTTATATCGAAGGAGCACGAATATTCAACTTGGTTTGAATGTGGTAATTTTTGGATCTAAAAAGAAAAAGAAAGAAGGCCACTAAACCACATATCTAGTCCCGCTGTATATCAAAGGAGCACAAATATCTAAACTTGGTTTGAATGTGGGTATTTTACTTAGAATGAAATGCGATTAGTATTGTTTTACTAACAAGTGATTAGTAAAACAAGATTAACTTCCCGTCAGTATAATAATACGATTAAGTTTTCGTATGCGTTCTATCCAGAAACAAGTGTAAGCGAAATCTGATTTAGTTATATTGTGTAACAATAAAGGACAAGCTCCAGAGTGAACTTATTTTGCTTGTTCTTTTCTGCACTAATAATAACTTTGTTCGATTTCGTTCGTTAATAAATATCTGGTATAACATGCGAAATACATATATATATATATATAACGTGCAATACCATACATATATCTGATAAATAAAAAAAGTTTTGTCTAGATCAATATGAAAATGTAGACTCATCCTAGAAAGAATATATGTTTGTGATTTTCCTCCAAACGTGAATATCTGATAAATGTTTGTTATTTCATTCACAAAAAATGTCACAAGTGCAAAGTAAAGAATATTTAAGCAAAAACAGTAAGTGTCATCACATTACTTTCTCCATTATTGTTATACAATATGAAATTGTGACAACGTTTAAAATATAATTTTCTTCAATACCCAAGGTTTTCTAACAGCAGTACATTTTGTAGATCAGCGACAACTGTCTGCTACTGCTGAAACAAATGAAATCGCAACTGCTATACCAGTTATCCAACAGCGATTAATTTTAGAAGATGTGACTATCGGAATGCACCAACGGCTACTGAAGTTTTATACGAAAAACGAAGACCTGATCATGCACCAATTTCAAGCGCACAAACTGATTCTACTCTGGATTGTATGTTTCATGTAGAATGTTATTGAGAAAATTCATCGTCTAAAGATTAAAGTTTAATCTAATTTAAGGGTCAACAAATGCAAAATCAAGAACAAATATTTTCTCAAGGTTACCCAGGCAAACTTTTTCTGCTACAAAAACGCGTCAATGTCCGTTAATTTTTAACGCGTTTCGCCGTATCAATTTTGGCCGAATTGATGCGTCGAAACGCGTTAAAAATTTAAATTTAAAAAAATTTAATTTTTTAAATGCAGGATTGATCTGACATTTTTTTAGAGGGTCTACATACTCACTTAGAGAGTTTCCACTGCTCTCAAGACTGCTTATAACAAGTGAAGAATGAAAGAAAACAAATATTACTTACATGGTTTGAGTGTGATTCGAACGTGGGTACCTAGAATTAAGAAGCAAACATACAACCGTCTGAGCTACAGACGACTGGAACAGTGTAATTCGTTCATTTCTAATCAGCCCAAAAGCGATAGTGTTTGCTTCTTAATCTATTAGACCGCACATTTTTATAAGCTTAAAGCCATTTTCATGAACTTTGTCATGAGCGACACACAACGTTCGTTTGTTTATTTATTCACTTCGTCTCCTCCATACTCATTTAAAGAAAAGAAAGCGGTTTGAGTTTGTTTACTTACCGAAGATCTATTAGTAATTTGTCTTAATCGTCTTCGTTTATTTGTTCTTTAGGCGTTAAAAGGGACAAAAGAGCAGAAGAACAGAAATCTCAGTCTCATGTGCGAACTTCTTTTATCTTCGCCATAGCCTCAGTGTTTCTATGATAAGTGCACTAAGCGGAAGTAGGGTGCACGTGCATTCTGAATCAAAGGTGCAACCGGTACCGGTACCGGCATGAATTATAACGCCGACATTAGTATGAAGTATAATCAGTCGGTCGATATTGCTGGTATTTTGCGGTATGATACTATTTTTCGAAAAACATCGTGCAAATTCAGTTCATCTATGACATATTTCTTTCACTAAAATTTCATTCCAATTACTTAAACTTTGTCGGCTTATATAAACTTCTTAATTTAAAAAATTGAATTGGATTGCTGTTTTCGTAAAAAAAAGCCTGTGAAAAATTAGCTATACATAAATCAAAGTGAAAAGATTAATCTATCCCTTTGATAACATAAGTGATTGATCAAAAGAAGAGTAATCGGTTTTTTTCGCTGAATATTAACAGACTTCATCACATGGATGAAACATAATCACAACTTCATTTTAAAAAAAAAATGGTCAACATGATCAAGACAAGCTGGTATCGACCGGTACCAGTACGAAGTTTGTATACCGGTGGCCGGTACCGGTATCGCATTTTTGATCGCGGTTACACCCCTGCTCTGAATTTTTGAAATGCACTTTGCTTTTGAGAGTTTTTGCTGGAGTGCACTTTGTGAAAAGAAATTTTACGCCTGTTATGCACTTTGCTAGAAAAAACAAAGTGCATCAGTGCATTTCTATTCAAAATCCTATTAGAAACACTGCATAGCTTACGTCCGCTAAACGCCTATTGGGTTTTTCCCTTTGAGAATAACCGTATCTTGAAATACTATGTCCTAGAATGTTTGCAAACTGAATGTTCCCTCGCAGTTTATCAAATCTCTCTTTTTTTCGCATGAAGCATTTTTTGCTACGATTTTCTTTTGAGTTTTTAGCAGTACACTTCTGCTTGGTATTCTTATGATAAAAAAATCTGCGCTCTGCTGAACTAGTCGCTTGATTTTCTGCGTTTTTCTCTTTGTCCAGTTTTCATTCCATTTTAGATATGATAAGTGACAACTACAAATGTGAAGATTCTTCGTCCGAAGATGAAATTTGTGAATTTTAGTAGGAAAACTAATAATGCAGCAATTATTGTTTGTTTTGCTGGACACAACAAGTTTTCTCGTTTAAGAAACTGTCAAGTTATTATTCTTGCTATCTTCCTTCTGAAAGATTGAACAAGTTAGTTTAGCTCTTTGTAAGATTTGTAAAAATTTTTACCATTCCAAAAATGAAATAGATTTTATAAAATAAATAAATAATAAGAAACTCCCAGGCTTCGTCTTTCTTTCCTCTTCGATTCTTTTTTCTAGACGTCGTTGACGCACGACGCCAGCTTGAGTTTTAAGTACAGCCGTTAGTGAGAGATGGAGATGTAGAGCTTCTTTACTTAAAGAGGCACTTTATGTCGTTAACTTTTCTGCCTCCAACTTTTGATCATAGCAGAACACGTTGGGTGAACGAAATTTTTGAGAAGAAACGTGTTCTATTCACGTTTAGTAAAATAACTTGGATTTTACCGCAGCTAAACGCGTTTGTTTACATCTACAATGCGTTTCACTGCGACAATCTCGAAACGCGTTTATCTGCGTAACGATATAACGCGTTCGGTTGCGTCAAACGTTGAAAAAACATTGCTTCAAAACGCGTTAATTCGTAGTGCGCTGAAACGCGTCATTTTCTAACGCATCCGAACGCGTTCACAATGCTTCAACGCAGGAAAACGCATCAATTCATACCTGCAACGCGGTTCGATGCGTTCGTTTCTAACGCGTTTAAACGCAACACAAGTTAACGCTTCCGAACGCGTCAGTTTATTGAAAAACCGTGCTGCTAAACGCATTTAAACGCGTCAAAATCTGCCGCGTTTTTAAGCGTTACTCTTGCGCAAACGCGTTATTCTACGTTAAATTTTGAAGCATTTGGACGCGTTTTACTTTAACTAACGCGTTGAAACGCGTTCACTGGCTGTTAAAACGCGTCAAAACGGGTTATTACGTGTGCTTACTACTTTTGACGTTTGATTGTAGAAGACGAATTGAAGACGAAGCAGTAGCCGGTCCACCACGCTTACGCTTTATGAAGTTAAATTCTACGAAAAAGGGATATGGATTTCAGATAAACACCAAAAGAGATTCAATACAATATTATGAACATATTGTAACCCATGTAGAACGTCAGTCCTCTGCTCAATCTAGTGGTTTAAATGTAGCTGATAGAATAATTGAGGTTAACCGCATAAACGTTGAAACAATGACCAGGAACATGTAGTTGACCATATTTTGCATGATAAAGGTGGTGAATGTGAACTTCTTGTCATGGATGCTCGGTCTTACTACGTGAAGCAAAAACAGAGAGTACAATCATCAAGAACAACAGGTGAACTATTGATTCTTTATAGATTTCATTTTATTCTTAGAAAATATAAATTTGTATTTAACAGCGTGAGAAAAGTCAGTTAAATTTAAAATCAGGACAGCGTTAGAGGATAACGTCTGTATTCAATTTGTTTTTGTGTCATATGTAGGCACAAGTACTTTAATTTTCTCCTTTTAACAGTTAAATGTTCGACAAGTTCTGTGCGAAAAGAATTAGTTCAATATAATATAGGGGAGAAGAAAAATTCATCGACAGTAGGAAGTTTCCAACAACCACCGGCAGTTCAGGTGAGATTTTCATAATTGCTGTGAAGGGCTATTGTGGAATATTAACTTCTTAATTAGAATCCAAATTTTTGGATTATTTAAGAAGAATGAAGTTCATCAAAGAGGACGACCAGCAAAAAGATCAATCACTCCCGAAAAAATCATTCAGATTTTTTCAATCATTGACGCCCGAAGAACTACTCTTATTAAATACGACAACATGGTCTAATCGTGACGAAAATTCAGTGTTGAACAAATTATGTGGTAAATTACAAATTGGAAAAAATGATACAAATCGTAGATGGATACTCTCTGTATGGACCAAAAACATGTACAATCTACGAACAATTGTGAATGAACGATCAAAGTATCTTTTAATATCTTCGGTATTTACGTTCTTTTAAGCCTGATCGACGCAACTATTAATGTTGAAATAACCATCGATAATGTACAGACTGAACGTCCATTACAAATTCAATTTCCGGTTCATAATCAAGTACCAACCGCACATCTTAACGAAGAAAGATTACAATATTCTGTTATATGTACAGGACAAGAAACAAAAGCTGTCTCGTACGTTTCGCTTAGTTTCTGATACTTGTTCTCAACGTAGCTGTTGGATAATTGCTTAGTTCTACAATGCTACTTGATCCAACTATAGAATGTCGAACAAGTGATATGAATATGAGTCTAGAAATGCCGGATTTACACGTGACGCGTACGTTAAACTACTTTCCAATACAATATGTAATTTAAATTCTTTCTTTTTTCTTTTTAGCTGAAGCAAGTGATGATGAGGCATCAGATCTCAATACGTCGAACACATTGTATCTTATGGTAGAAGCTGTTAATATAATTCACAGTGACAAAAAGAAATGGTAGAAAATCGTGATAAATAGTGCTATGTCATATTCAAACTGTTCTGTTAGGATTCTTAAATCAAACGTTGAAATCCTGATGTTTTTCTATTAAATGTCTTTTGATTTTTCGAATCGAAAAACCTAGGAACGTTATCACAACATGTAGATAATCCGGCGATATTTAGGCCAATTTTCTCAATTAATTAGAACCTGATGAGTGGAAACTATACCCGTACATCAGCAATAGTACAATAATGAATGACGAATACTTCGTAAGTGTTATACGAAACTGAAAAGCAGTATGACCCAGTATCTTTCTAGGATAATGAGATTGATAAGCAATCAAACACTGATCGTCATTCTGTCGATAATAACAAAAATGCATCGCATAAAGTAAGAACTGCCAATTACAGAACTTTGTTTAAAAACTCCACGATGTGACATGTTTCATGTTTCTTTGAATGCATTTTGTGTTACAACTCTGACTGTAAAGTTATATCGCCATTTGTAATATTGCTGCCTAATACGAATTACTGTTTATTACTATTTGAGGACATAGGATCAAAGAACACATGTGTACATATGAAAGTCGAGGATAATTTAACATCATTGCCGACAGAATATCGATCTGTAATTGATTTACTCCTTCAGCGCCCTTCAGTAGGAGATAAAATAATGTCAGAAGTTCCCAAACAACCGGTAATATTACGTGTCACAGATACGGATTTCGATAAATTCAAGCAACAACTTGCTGAATCTAAAAATAAACACAATATTAAACAATCGTCTTCACCTGGTTCAAGTTCGTATCATAATACTCGTAAAACAGAACGGATTAATATAATTGAAAACTACATTAATCAAACAAATGGTCGTTGTGTTTTTATGTACTCTCGACATCATTGGTCAACGGCCAAAACAATCAGCAGAGATTCAGAGAAAAAACAATTTTTATTGAGTGCAGATGCCACTTGCAAATTTAGCACTTGCAAATGATCGTTTCATGCAATTCTTTATGACGATGCAACATTACATATCAAGTACTCCGGTTATATCTCTCATAGTCCTTCGGAACATCGAGCGCGTCTTATAAGAGGTTCGCGGAGAGAAAGCATAGCTGAACAATTATCTTCCGGTTTAAAACCTGATCAATTACGTTTAAAACAACTGGGTTGATAATCGACTATTCGAATGATAATCGACTATATGGCAATCGAAACATAGTGGGATCCAGTTCTCATGTATTTCGTAAAATTAGAAGTGAAACTAAATCGGCGTTGATGTTGGATCCAGATCTTGGTACTAGTTTAGTTAAAATACAAAATGAACAACAAAAAGAAATCCGTCCAGAACAATCACTTCCAGGCTATCTACAAGACATATCTTGGTCCACTTAGATTGGTCTGTTTTACATATGGAGGTTTGAAGCTTTGGGAAATGGTTGCAAGTACCGTTCCTGTTTCCTGGGACGCTACGGATGGAGTGGTGATGAACAGAGGAAAGAAAGTATTTTATTATGAACTGACGATTAGTAGTATTAGTGCATCTGGTGTGAGTAAGAAAAGTCGCTCTGGTCCGTCATTTCCAGTGACATCAATGCTATCT